GGTGTTAACTTTAGTCACTCGGCTAAGGTGATGTCTGCCAGGTTTCTCCACTGTTAAGTTAGTATTTTCCCCCTTTGTAATTAATAAATATGCTGGGGGAGAAATGTTGAGGCTGTGCAAATACCGTTTCTCCTCCAGTGTTTGCCCGTTAATTTTAGCCTCCATCTGTGGCTCTTGCTTACAGAAATGACTGCTACGGTGTTTCCCCAATGGTGATTTTCTATTCCCCTTATTCCTTCTACATACATTCAGTGGGATTTCTCTGTAAGGAAAAGCTGACTTTTCTTCCCTGTTTATTTATTCAAGTACTGTATTTATTTATATCAGTGTGAACTCAGAGAGATTGATCGTATTGGTTGGGTGCAGTGGCTCAAGCCTTTAATCCCAGCACTTTGGGAGGCCAAGGCAAGAGGATCACTTGAGGCCAGGAGTTTGAGACCAGCCTGGGCAACATAGTGAGACTCATCTCTACAAAAAAATAGTAAGAATAACAAGTATTGCATTAGCAGATTATTTTTTGATGGATAGGAGTGTGATGACCACAGATTCTTTCTTGAACAGGCTAAGCCTGAAGTACCTGTAAGACGTTTGGGACATTCATAGATAGCAAGTTCTGTGAGAACAGAGTTTGGGATGTCTAGTGTACTCTTATACCAGAATTTCTCTTTCCAATCAGCCTTACAAACACCTACAGAGCAGGAGCTGAATCTGATTTATCTGTGTCTCCAGCACCAAAACATAGGCCAATGCCCAGATCACGTACCACGTAAACGTTGATTGGATGGAGGATGAATGAATGGATGTATCGATGGACGGATGGGCTGACAGATAGGCCTGAGTAGCTTTACTGAGAGCAGTGAGTGGGTCAGCTGGTCTCCAGGGACACTTCTATCTCTGGTCTTCTTGGTTATTGCACTGATCTGAGTCTAATGCTGATTCCTCTCTCTGCTTCCTGCTCCCTGATCCTGTTGTGAACCGGCTGGCTGATGCTTTTGTCTCCAGTTGCAACTAAAGAAAAAAGTAAGAACTGGGGAACCCCCAAGTCTGTATTTTCATAGCTACCTCCCCTAAAATTCTTCTGGATCTTGCGACCTCTCTGGCAATTCTGGGGAAGGGTGGGACTTGGATCTGGTGCACGGACTTGCCGTGGGGTCTGGGAGTGACTCGGAAAAGCAAACCACCTTTCTGTTGTGGTCTTACGGTGATGCTCACAACTAAAAGAGCAGCCCTCCTTCATTCCTTTGTCTGGGGAAGAGAGGCTCACTGGGAAAATGAAGAGCATTTATCAGGGAAGAGAGATGTCAGGCAGATCTCCATTAGAATAACACCCTGACTTATGTGTAACACCAGCTGGTGGTTTGCAAACTTCACGGTATTAGGGCCTCTGAACATGCTAAAAAAATTACTGAGGATCTAAAGAGTTCTTTTTTTTTTTTTTCCCCAGCGAGGGTTTTATTTATTTATTTATTTATTTATTTATTTATTTATTTACTTTTGAGACGAGCCTTGCTCTGTTGCCCAGGCTGGAGGGTTAGTGGCGCGATCTGCATTCACTGCAACCTCCACCTCCCGGGTTCCAGCGATTCTCCTCCCTCAGCCTCCCGAGTAGCTGGGACTACAGGCTGCGTGCCACCATGCCCGGCTAATTTTGTATTTTTAGTAAAGACAGGGTTTCACCATGTTGGTCAGGTTGGTCTTGAACTCCTAACCTCAGGTGATCTGCCCGCCTTGGCCTCCCAAAGTGCTGGGATTACATGCGTGAGCCACCGTGCCTGGCCAAAGGTGTCAGTAAAATATCTTTATTGATATTTACCTTATTATAAATTCAAGGATTTTTAACTTAAAATATTTATATTTACAAATACTATAAATATTTACAAATATTTATATTTACAAAAAATATTTGTATTCACAAATAAGCACATAAAAAGATGCTCAACCTTATTAGCCATTAGGAAAATGGAAGCCAAAGCCACAATGAGGTACCACTATACACTAACTAGGGTAGAGAAATTAGATCCCTCATATGCTGCTGGTGGGAATGTGAAATGATACAGCTGCTTTGGAAAACAGTCTGGGTGTTCCTCAAAATGTTAAATGCTGAGTTACTCCGCAATTCTGCTCTAGGTATGTGCTCAAGATAAATGAAACGTAAGTCCACACAAAAACCTGTGCACAAATGTTCACAGCAGCACTGTTCCTAAGAGCTAGCAAAGTGGAGGTAATCCTGGCGTGCATCAATTAATGAACGGAGAAACAGAATGTGGTCTATGCATACAATGGAATGTTATTCACCCACAAAAAGAAACAAAGTTCTGATGCATTCAACAACATGTGTAAGCCTTGAAAACATTATTCTCAGTGAAAGATGCCAGTGATAAAAGATCACATTATTACCTGATTCTGTTTACTGCATATGAAATATTCAGGATAGGCAAATCCATAGAGACACAATCGACGTTAGTGACTTCCAGGGGGTGAGGGGTGGGGGAATTTAGGGACGATGACTAAGGGGTTCAGGGTTTATTTTGGGGTGATTAGAGGCTCTAAAATTGGTGTAGTGATGGTTGCACAAGTCTGAGTATCACACAAACCATTGAAATGGGTGAATTGCACGGTATGCGAATTATATCTCAGTAAAGCTATTATTAAAATATCTATTACTGCATTTAAAAATAAGGATAATAGACTCAGAAGGAAGGAGGGTGGCAGCAAGGTGAGGGATGAAAACTACCTATTGGGTACAACGTACATTACACAGGTGCTGGTGCACTAAAATCCTAGACTTCACCTAGACTACACAATTCATCCATGTCATCAAAAACCACTTGTACCCCTAAAGCTACTGAAATTAAAAATATTTTTAAAATAAGGATAACAAATACACATATTGACATAAATGTTTCAGTGAAACGGCTGTTTCCCAACCAAAAAAGTTGAGAAGAAAGGTATTATTTTACATTTTTGCAAATCTCTTTGATATCTAGTTTTATAGAACACAGCTGAATTCTCATTTCTGCTTCAGTCTGTCACAATGCGCTATTTTTTTTTTAGTTTTATGTATTTATTTATTTTGGAGACACAGTCTTGCTCTGTTGCCCAGGCTGGAGTGCAGTGGCATGGTCTTGGCTCACCGCAACATCTGCCTCCCAGGTTCAAGCAATTATCTTGCCTCAGCCTCCCAAGTAGCTGGGATTACAGGTGCACGCCACCATGCCTGGCTAATTTTTGTATATTTAGGAGAGACAAGGTTTCACCATGTTGGCCAGGCTGGTTTTGAACTCCTGACTTCAGGTGATCTACCCACCTCGGCCTCCCAAAATGCTAGGACTACAGGTGTGAGCCTCCCCGCCCAGCCACAATGTGCTATTTAGGTTGAAGCAAATGAATATCTAATCTCACACAGATAAGGAGTTGGAAAAGGGAGGATCACGCAGACCAGTTTTAGGCAGAGTTCTCCAGAGAGACAGAACCATGAAGATATACATATAGATACATATAGATATAGATATAGAGATATATTGATAGAGATATTTGAGAATGAATTTGTTAGGGGAATTAGCTCACTCTGTTGTGGGGTCTGCAAGCTGGAGAACCAGGAGAGCCAGTAGTGTGGCTCAGTCCAAGTCTGAGGGCCTCAGAACCAAGGAAGCTGATGGATGGTTCTAACTAACTCTTAGTCTGAGGCCAATGGCCTGGGAGCTCAGAGGACTGCTGGTTCAAGTCCTAGAATCCCAAAAGCTGGAGTACCTGGAGTTCTGACATCCAAGGCCAGGAGAAGGGCGTCCCGGCTGCAGAAGGCAGAGCAAGAATTGACCCTTACTCCACCTCTTGGCTTCAGCTGGGCCTCCATCCAATTGGATGGTGCTCACCCACCGTGAGGGTGGATCTTCCCCACCTAGTCTTCCAACTCACACACGAATATCCTCCAGAAACAGCTTCACAGACACACCTGGGGCAGCCCAAACATTCTAATCAAACGCCAAACCACTCAGGCTTCCCTTTCAGCAGAAGATGGATGGACTCAGTGCCTACCGAAGCAATGAGAATTAATATGTCTTATTGCTATATGGGTACCTCAGTCAAGCTGACACCCCAAGTCAACCATCACATCCCCTGAAAGGGTCTCAGGGACCACCTCCCACCCCCGCCAAGTGGTCTTTGGATGATACTTTGAGAATTTCTGCTCCAAGTCACACGGAAGGGAAAAAGATCTCTTTTTTTTCCAGCCCTACTAGAATGCAAGACTGTAAGTTCCTAGAGGGCAGGGACTGTACTTTACTCATCTGTTTATTCCTGTAGCCTAGCAAGATTCCTAGTGCTCAGGAGGACTAAATAAATGGAAAGAGGCCTGCAGAATGGAACGCACTGTGAAAACTTAAGTTAATATTATTATTTCAGATTGAAAGGAGATAAAAGGAACCAATATTAATTAAGCATTTAGCATGTACTGAGAATTTAAAATATGTCATGCAATTTAATTTTCAAAAGAGTAAGCGTCCCATATGGGGTCTGAGATTTCCAAAGCTCTGGACCCTCACATTGGACCATCGTCACAAGAATCACGTGGGAAACTTAAAAAATATTTAATCCCCACACCAGACCCGGTGAGCTCAAATGCCTGCAGAGAAGATTTGGGGTTTTTTTATACCTAAAAAGCTAGCCTATGCTAGTTCCTTCCTGTCTTCAAAAGCTGAACCTTCTAAGCCTAAACAAATGCAAACATCTCATGATCCACAGTTTTTGTTTCAATTTAAAACATTATGCTGTTTTAATTAAAATGTTTTGGTTTATGTTACTATTTTATTAACATTTCCATGAACAATTAAAATAGTATTTACATAAACTTTAATTACATTTAAATTACTAATTAAATATTCAATTTAAAACATCATGTTATTTTCATTTAAAACAAGATTTCCGGGGTTCAGAATTCAAGACGTTCTCAAGGTTATACCAGAAAAAATTCCTTCCCAACCTTTTCACTCATTTCTCTTCCCCAAAAGAATCTGATATTAACTATTTCTTCCAGATCCTTCCAGAGATATTTTATTCAAGTAGAAACAAATGTGTATTTATATATTCAGTCTTGTTTCTATTTTTACAAAAAAGACAGCGTATTATACACACTGTTCTGTATGCACCTTACTTTTTTCAGCTAATAATACTTCCTGAAGATGACTCTGTGTCATTTTATAAGGAGCATCCTCAACCTCCTATTTATACGTTTTTGGCTGAATAATATTCCTTGTATGGAAGTCCACAATTTGTTTGACCAGTCACATACTAATGGCCACTCAGGTTGTTTTCAGCAGTTTGCTCTTTTAAACAATGCTTCAAAGAAAAATTCAGCTTACATTAAATGAGACATATAGGATATATATCAGTGTAGATCTATATATTTATATCTGTAGGATTATACATGGAAATGTGTAGAATTATATCTACATATAGATATATATTTATCATCCAGATATAACTACTGTCTTAGTCTGTTTTGGGCTGCCATAACAGAATACCTGAGACTGGAAAATTTATAATGAATAGAAATTTATTGGCTCATGTTTCTGGAGGCTGGGAAGTCCGAGATAGAGGGGTTGGCATCTTGTGAGAGCCTTCTTGTTGTGTCATCCTATGATGGAAGGACAGAGAGAGAGAGAGACAGAAACAGAGACAGAGAGCTTAAAGCTTCAAGCCCTTTTATAAACAGCATTAATCTATTTATGAAAGTTGAGCGCTTGTGACCTAAATACTTCCCAGTAGGCCCCACCTCTCAACACTGTTGCATTTGGGATTAAGTTTCCAACACATGCTATTTGGGGGACACTCAAACCTTTACACATGCACACTTAACCCTTGAACAAAGTGAGAGTTAGGGACACCAACCTCCAGTGCAGTTGAAAATTCACATATCACTTTTGACTTCCCCAAAACTTAACTACAAATAGCCTACTTTTGACCAGAAGACTTACCAACAACATAAACAGTAGATTAACACATATTTTGTATGTTACATATATTACTACGCTGATTCTAGCATAGTATATATACTATGTTAGAGAAAAAAAAATGTTATTAAGAAAGAGAAAATATGTTTACCCTTCATTAAGGGGAAGTGGGTCACTGTCAAGGTCTTCATCCTTGTCATCTTCACAATGAGTAGGCTGAGCAGGAGGAGGAAGGGGAGGGGTTGGTCTTTCTGTCTCGGGTGGCAGAGGCAGAAGAAAATCCACATCTAAGTGGATAAGTATAAGTGTAACTGTGTAGTTCAAACCTGTATTGTTCAAGGGTCCATGGTGTGTGTGCATACGTACACATACACACTTATGTGTTTATGTAAATATATATATATATAAGATCAATTTCTGAAACTGCAAAGTTAAAGAAGGGTTTCCAACACTCGTGCCACTGCAATGCTACCGCTGTACTGATCTTTGTCAAATGGATGTGACAAACTACATAAAAATAGTGTCCCATATAAAGATCGCACTCCATATAACAACAGGCAAATAAATGTTCCATGAAGGAATAAAGAAATGCATGTAAAAATTAACAGAGATGGGTTATGTTAATATTAATTCTACTCTCTTCCTTGCATTTTCCATGTTGATTCACTGGCTCCTGGCTCTGCTGCCCCTTCCAGTCAACTGTAAGTCGTATCTCCTTCTCCCTACATAAATGGGGAGCCCTTCAACCTAGAGAAGGAAGCGAATGAAAGAGAGAGGCAAAACTGCTGACTATCACATTCAACCGGGGGCAGATCCAGAGGCCCTCAATTCTTTTTTTTTTTTTTCTTTTTTTTCCTTTTTGTGGAGAACGGGGTCTCGCTATATTACCCAGGCAGGTCTCGAACTCCTGGGCTCAAGCTATCCTCCCGCCTCTGCCTCCCTGAGAGCTGGGATTACAGGCGTGAGCCACCGCGCCCGGCTGAGGCCCTCAATTCAAACATGACCTCTTCACCCAGAACCTTCAGACTGCAGGGGGTAGGAAGGGTGCAACTGGATGGACTTTGAGGAAGCCGACAAGCCTCTATCATCGGGTCTAAAACTGGGTGTGCTGTCAGAGAGAAAGAGAAAGAGAACACCTGTGTGGTGTTCTCAGTAGGACCCTACCGATTTTCAGTAGGATCAATGGCCCACCACAATCTAGGAGCCTTTGCTCTAGAACGCACACCTGGGTTAGACTGTGTGTTATTCATTGGTGGTTTTTAGATGAGAAAAATATGGTGCGGGGTGGGTAAGACGTCTTCCTTTCCCATAATTAACATCCAGTCTCCGGCTGAGAACTAGAGATTACACTTGGTTGTTATGGAGGCCCTCCTTATACTAGAAATTCAGGTGGAGAAGGGAGGGTCTGGATTCCCCCAGGCCACTGGTAATCCTGAAGTTTCTGACTTCAGGGTAAATGTGCCTCCAAAGGGGTCCAATGCACTTAGAATGAATTGCAGTTCCCCACTCTGGTTCCCTAACCTATCTCAGGACCTATGGGGTGCAATGAGGTACCAAGGATGACTTAATTCCTTTCACATTCTCTCTGAACCTGCATTGGCAACATGGTTCCCACGGGCTGCCATCGGTCCTGCCCTTCCTGCTGCTTGCATGCCAACAGTGCTGAAAGGTAAGCTTCTCATTCCTTCTCTTTCCCTTTGGGTTCTGTCTGCCTTTGTCCAAAAGGGATCATTGCTGCTGAACTTCGACTGATGTTTCTTCTCTGGTCTGTTCACAGCTTAGCCTCTAATAGAGGAACTAGTGAAACCAAGTGTGGAATTCTCCTTTGATGAACAACAAAAAACCCTTTTACTACTCTCCCTGCCAAAGTCAGTTGCCCAGAAATTGAGCACTCTTTCATGGTCCAAGCTTCAGGAAGGTCCACACATGGCTCAAGGAAAGCTATTAGGTCTGAGAGCTCAATTCAGGTCTACCTGACGTCGATAATAATATTTGGTTAGACACAATGACTGACACTTTTGCTTTCTGAGGTCAGGTAGTAAAAGCCACCATCATTGCTGCCTATTTAATAATTCCTAGAGATAGCAATCTGGAACAAGTTAGGTGGAATGAGACCATGGCTTTGTCACTGAGTTTGCAAGATTCAGGGGCAGAAGGCTAGGTCAGGAAGTGAGACGATGACTTGCAGAAAGGGTACAAGGCCCACGTTAGGCAGCTTTGCATGTGGAGCCTAATTCTGCTCCTTCTTAGGTGGGGCAATCTTAGAGAAGTCACTTCACCTCTCTGTGCCTACTTTGCAAGGTTAAATGAAGTTATGGTTGCAAAACATTTTCAACTCAAGAAATCCAGACTTCACCACCTCTTTCTGAGTCCACGTCCCTGCCCCCACCACACACACACGTGCACACCCTTATGTATGAATCCAATACTATTAGCATCATCATTATGATTACTTACCTCGTATTACTATTTCTAACTTTACTAAATGTTGCTTTGAGCCAGGAGCTAGGCTAAGTACTCAGTCTGCATTATCTTCCTTATTGACATAGCTCCGAACGGGAAATAATATCTCCTTTTTTTTTTTTTAATTTTATTTATTTATTTATTTATTTTTTTTTTTTGAGGCAGAGTCTCGCTCTGTCGCCCAGGCTGGAGTGCAGTGGCGTGATCTCAGCTCACTGCAAGCTCCGCCTCCCGGGTTCACGCCATTCTCCTGCCTCAGCCTCCCGAGTAGCTGGGACTACAGGCGCCCGCCACCTTGCCCGGCTAATTTTTTGTATTTTTTTAGTAGAGACGGGGTTTCACCGTGTTAGCCAGGATGGTCTCGATCTCCTGACCTCGTGATCCGCCCATCTCGGCCTCCCAAAGTGCTGGGATTACAGGCTTGAGCCACCGCGCCCGGCCAATATCTCCATTTTAAAGAGCACAGAGAGTTCATTGATCATCCCACGGCCACCCACTTAGTAAAATGCATAGCCTGGATATCAACCATTCAATGCCCACATCAATATTCCCAACAACGTTAGGCATTAACTACCAGATGAATTTCAGTGACACTGAGAAAGGCGTTGTGAGCTCCATAAATACAGCACTTTCCACTAGCAAACCTAGTGGGATTCTTCAATAGGTAGGAAGCCTCACCCCAGCTAACGTTCCCGTTTTGTAGATGAGGAAATGGAGACTTCTAGAAGGAGTCAGAGAGCTCTGAGTCTGAGTTCCTGCTTTTTCACTCGCCAGCTGCACAGGTCTCTGCAAATCACATAATTCCTTGGAGGTTCACCTGTCCTTGCCAGCAACATGGGGACAATATCTGATCTCAGAGGGCTGGTGTGGGGTAAATAGAAGGACAGAGCTTGGCTCCTCTTTCTAGAGGCAATAAAGGATCATCTTTTCTTTTGCTGCTAGCATGAATGAAGAATGGTTCATGACTGCTGTCCCAACCTCTTTCCCTACTTTGGACGTTCTTCCCTGCCTCAAATGCACGGGGGTCCTCAATAATCTCACAGCGTTCTGAGTCTTAGTCCCTGACTGCTCACCACGCATGATCCCTTGTGAATTCTACTTCCCAATCTGTTCCCAGCCCCCAGCATCTGACCTTGTTTTTGGTTTTCTGATTATGGCTTCATCTTTGTGACCTCTTGGGGACAACATTCTGGACCACGCACGTAACCTTGGCCACCACACTGACTCTTCCTGGATGGGCTACCATCAGGGATCGTAGGTAAATACTTTGCCACTTCCCAATGCCCCTGGACTGTGCACTCTGGTGGGAAATTTTGAGCAAGGATTTCTGAGTATCTAGTCTGTGCCTGGACTCATGCTTGGGCGATGGGAGCCCAGAGGTGGATCTGATATGATCACTCTTTATAAACTCAGAGTCTGGTGGGAAACAGAGACAAGTAAACAGAAATTAGAGACGAGTGATGCTTGCTGTCTTTTTTTTTTTCTTTTGAGACGGAGTCTCACTCTGTCACTCAGGCTGAAATGCAGTGGTGCAATCTTGAGTGACTGCAGCGCCTCTGCCTCCCGGGTTCACGCCATTCTCCCACCTCAGCCTCCCGAGTAGCTGGGCTTACTTACAGGCACCCACCACCGTGCCTGGCTAATTTTTGTATTTTTAGTAGAGATGGGGTTTCGTCATGTTGGCCAGGATGGTCTTGAGCTCCTGACCTCAGGTGATCCACCCGCCTCAGCCTCCAAAGTGCTAGAATTACAGGCCTGAGCCACTGCGCCTGGCCTTGCTGTGACTGATAGAGGTAGGAATGGGGATTAAGTGGGAATAATGAGGCATCAGGACTGAGGTAGTATAGCCACACTTCCTGAAGAAGAGAGTTTGTTACATCTGTTGAACTCGGGGAAATCCATTAATGAGAAATATTCCTTTCTGTTGCATTTGCACATCATGCTCTATGTCTTCCTCCTCAGGTCTGATGAGCAGGCTGTCACCGGACGGTAAGTGTCGGGATTCTATCTTTTGAAGCTGGTCTTTCTTTTCTCTTGTCCGCAAGGTCACGCAGACTTATTGAGTCATTTACGCTTTTATGTAGAGTCTTAAAGAACCCTTCAGGTATTATCCAAGCCCGTGTTTTGTTTGAGCTTTGACGTAATGAAAATCTTTATTACTATATAAGGTTACAAGTAGAATTTTGCCTAATAATTGTGACGCTGTGGTGTTTTTTAAGTTTTAGAAACAGCATAGGCACATGGGAAAATAGCGAGGGAACATAAAATGAGTGTCAAAATCATTCTCTTCACTACATTCCCAGCTCTTCTCTCTAAAAGCAAGCACCATGTCTAGTCTCATGTGTATTCTCCCAAGAAATAGTCATACACATGTACGTACATCCTTAACTCAAGTTAAAAGTATTATGTGTTTCAGTGATATAACTTTACCTCTTTCAAATACCTGAAATATGCTTCATGTATACTCCCATAATTTAATGACCCTCTTGTTCGTGGACATTTACTTTTTTCCTAATATATATGTTTTTAGTTTCCTTTCACCCTGTTGACTGGGATTCCTAACATATTTTGATTCCAGTTTTGTTTTAATTTTTAAATTATTATTATTAGTAGTAGTATTGTAGTTTTAGTGGAGACAGGGTTTCACCGTTTCGGCCAGGCTGGTCTCGAACTCCTGACCTTGTGATCTGCCCGCCTCGGCCTCCCAAAGTGCTGGGATGACAGGCGTGAGCCACTGCGCCCAGCCCAGTTTTGTTTTATTTTGTTTTGATGTTATTATAAACAGCGCTATAATGGAAATCCTTATCCAATCATTGCTTTTTTTATTTTTGCAAATTCCTATCTGTTAAGTTCCTAAAAGGGAAATGGCTGGGTCAAAGGGTATCTGCCTGTTAAATCTGGACAGATGTTCAACAAATTTGTACCCTCCTATACAACCTGTGGGGCTGCTTGTTTCCCCACACCTTCAGCAGCATGGGATATTATCTAACTATTTACTTATTTATTTAGAGACGGAGCCTCGCTCTGCTGCCCAGGCTGGAGTGCAGCAGTGCAATCTCAGCTCACTGCAACTTCTGCCTCCTGGGTTCAAGCCATTCTCCTACCTCAGCCTCCTGAGTACCTGGGACTACAAGCAACCACCACCACAGCCGGCTAATTTTTGTATTATTAGTAAGGATGGGATCTCACCATGTTGGTCAGGCTGGTCTCGAACTCCTGACCTTGTGATCCGCCTGCCTCGGCCTCCTAAAGTGCTGGGATTACAGGCGTGAGTCACTGCGCCCGGCCTTGACTTTTTATTTTTGATAATGTGGTGGCCAAAAAAAAATTGCCCCCCACATATTTTTTTTCACAGATGGACTGAACCCCAACAGGAGTTCTAGCTGCATCTATGCACGGCCAGAACCCCCACACCTATCATTCTTTAAATGGACGCAAAGCTTTTTCCTTAAGTAAATAAACTTGAAAAGGACCCTTGAGGCCGCTTCAGTGGTCAGCTAGTGTTACTATTTGTTGTAAGGAGGAGACAACCGTGAAGATAAATATGGCGAAAACAAAACGTGATTAAATTATAACTAGACACTGTTTTTCTGCCAAGGCTCTTTGTGCGAAGGTTGTTCTCGCTGTTCAGTGGAAATAAAGACTGGCGGCCGGGCGCGGGGGCTCATGCCTGTCACCCCAGCACTTTGGGAGGCCAAGGTGGGCGGCGGGCGGATCACGAGGTCAGGAGATCGAGACCATCCTGGCTAACACAGTGAAACCCCGTCTCTACTACAAATACAAAAAATTAGCCAGGCGAGGTGGCGGCGCCTGTAGTCCCAGCTACTCGGGAGGCTGAGGCAGGAGAATGGCTCTGAACCCGGGGGGTGGAGCTTACAGTGAGCCGAGATCCGGCCACTGCACTCCAGCCTGGGCGACAGAACCAGACTCTGCCTCAAAATAAATAAATAAATACATAAAAATTTAAAAAATATTAAAAAAAAAAAAGCTAGCAAGTGTTATGAGTTAAAGATGAGTTAGTGCCATTTTGAGAATTTCTCTCTGGTTGAAAGAGAATTAAAGGGAGAAAAACGTTCTCACCATGGGGTACCCAAGGAGTTCAAGCTGAGTTCCTGTGTCCGCCTGAGATCTGCTCGGCATCACCAAGCGCTCATCTCTCACTGCTGGAGATGCCCGGCAGAGCGGATGCTAGCGGGGCTTCCCAATATATCCCTATCTGGAATTTCCACCTGGCTCCACTATTTACCAGCACACACCACTCAGGACAAGTCTGTTTTCTTTCCGGTCCACCAGGATTCGCAGCCCGCACTGCACAGTGTGGTTGTGGGATGATGATAACGTGTCAGAAACACTCAGATATTAGGGAGCCGGCGAAAGTGGATTTGACTCCCTCCCACCCCCACCATTCCATGGATTCTGGAGCCCAAAGTCTTCCTTGTGGTGTCTGTTACTCCTGTGATGACGGTTTCTGGGTTCTGTCTCTCTTAGGTGGCTAAACAACCATGCACTTTCTCTGTTTTCCCATCAACCTGGAAGTAGAACTCTCCTCCATGGGTTCCCCCAAGAAACGTGCTGTGGGAAAAATCTTACGGAAACCTATAATGACTGGGTTTTGATGAAGATGACAGTGTCAGGAACAGGCCAGCCTCAAGCACATGGTTCCTTGCCTTACCAACTCTGCTCACCTCTCCTTTTCTTCTCTTCCCGCCTCTCCTCCCTCCCACATCGCCTGTGGAGCTGCACAGTCTCCTTTTAACAAGCTCAGTAATTCAGTTCTCCCTCACTCCCGTCCCCCCAAATCCATCCACCCCATAAATATCAGCCCTCTGTGCACCAGAAGCTTCCTCCTTGGAATGCAGCCGGACCTTATAAAACACAAAATGTTCTTACTGCACATGCGAAGTGCCTGCCACGAAACCAAGCACCAATCGAATGTAGCCACTGACAGGTATAATGGCGGCGGGGAGTCGAGGCGGATGTGGCGGGAGTCACAGACTCATGGGGCTGGAAATCATCTGAGTCACTAAACAGCTGGAGAAACTGAGGCCCAGAAGCAGGCAGAGCATCAGAGGCAAGGTGGTTCCTAACAGTAGATTCATTCAGCACCTTAAATCAGCCAATGACTTTCCAAGTATCCCTTTGCCTGGATTCTTTTCCTCCTTATAACCCCCTGAGAGAAGTAAATGCCACAAAAGTGACCAGCTCGTCCCAGGACACTTCCAGTGTTAGCTCCGAAACTCTCGCATCCTGGGAACCCCTTCGGTTCTGGGCAAACCAGGAGGGTGAGTCTCTGATTTATGATTCCACTTTTCTGATGAGGAGACGGAGGCACAAGGAGATGGAGTGAGTTGCTGATGGTCACGAGGCTGGTGTGGCAGAGCCAAGATCGCAGCACGGGCCCAAATGGGTCCATGGTGTCTGCTGTTCTTAGGATGAAGGCTGAGGCCCTTCGGTTGACCCACACGGCTCAGCGTTACTGAGCTCCAGATACCCTCCAGCCACGTCTCGTGCCATGATCACCTACCATCATGCCCCTGAGGTGGGCTCCTTCAAGCCCCCTGCCACTGCAGGCTCCCATCCCGCCCAGGAAGACGCCCACATTGTTCCCTCTGTCTGCGACGCTTTCCTCCCTCCCTTCCACATTTCTTCACCCAGCTAACCCCTGCTCATCTTCCAGGTCTCAGACACAACATCACTTCCCTCAAGACGCCTCCCCTGGTGTCCCCGCAAGGTCAGCAACCATCGCCCCCTTAGAGGTTCCCACGGAACCCAGCAGGTCTACCCAGAACACTCGTCCCACCCAAACCCCACTTTTGATGCCTTTGCTCCTGCTTCTCTCTGACTAGTCTGTGAGCACCCTGAGCATCTGCCTTGCTTTCCACTGCACCCTCCATACCTTGCGTGATGCCCAGCACACAGGAGATGCCTCATAAACATTTGTTAGAAGGCGTGACTGAGTGCTTGAGTCTGTGTCTTTACCC